AAACCCGAAACCCTGAACCTCAAACCCTAGGCCCTAGACCCCCGAAATCCTCTAAACCCGAAGCCCCTAAACCCCCTAAACCCTCTAAACCCTCTAAACCCTCATTGCCCCCTAAACCCTAAACCCTAAACCCTAAACCCTAAACCCTAAACCAAACCTCCCAACCCGACAAGGCATGGCTCCCGGCTGATGTATACGACTTGGATACGGCCCGGGTCTTCCGTCCTGGAAGTTGGAGCACGGTTCCTTGGCTTAGGTTTTAGCGTTTAGGGTTGCAAGAGGGGTTTAGGGTTTATAACGGCTTAGGGTTTAGGGTTTAGGGTTTAGGGTTTAGGGTTTAGGGCATTTAGAGGATGTAGGGATCCTATAGAGGTTACCTTATTCCTACGTGATTTTGGGCGCCCTTCAAATACAACCCTAAACTCTCAACCCTAAACCCTAAAACCCTAGATCCTGAAACCCTAAACCCTGAAACCCTAAACTCTAAAGCCCTAAACTCGAAAGCCTAAAACCCTTAACCCTGAAACCCTAAACCCCTGAGCTCAGGTATGGTCAAACGACCTGCTTGCTCTCCAAGCTCCTACAGCCAGACTCTACCGGCGCCAGGTACCCGAAAGCCACAAACCCAGAAGCCCTAATGCCCGGAACCCAAAAACCCTAAAGCCCTAAAGCCAAAAGCCCTAACGCCCTAAACCATAAAGCCCTGAACAACCCTAAAGCCCGAAAGCCTACAGCACTGAAGCCCTAAAGCCCAAACCCAAGCGGTGCCAGGTTGCACGCCTCTGATGCTGACCCCCAAGTCTGGGATGTACTGGAAGGGAACCTTTATCAGCACGGCTGCCATGCGACAGTTCCTGGGACATCAGGCTAGTTTACGGTCAGTGTTTAGGGCTTGGGGTCTCGAGGTGCTGCCTTCTGTTTCAGCTTAAGGTGGTTCGCGGCCCTGTTGGGACGAGCAGCCTAAAGTTCGAGCTCCACAACTACGGCAGTCGCACAATAAGCCTCGATGACCCTCGGCCGGGCGTGGTGGTTCCTGCGCATAGCCTCCGGTCTCTGAACGCAACGTTTGACACTCTGGCCATTGACTGTGACTGGGTGCTTGTTTCGGGGAGTTAGTCTAAGTTGCCACAGCAAGGACAGCAGAGGATGTACTGTGTAGGTTTTCTAGAGGCCTAGGGTTGTAAGTGAACTTCCATTCCGTTACAATCTGTCTAAACACCCCGTGTAAATCCCCAAAACCTAAACCTTAACCTAAACTTTAACCCCAGCTGTAACACCCTTTAAAGAGAGAGCAGGTGAGGGCTGCTTTGGTAGCTTCCTCGAGGAGAATCCCGATCTACTGGAGAAACTGTCCATGACCCTTGGGGCCTGCTTAGGGTTTAGGGTTTAGGGTTTAGGGGTCGCTGAGCTTGGGGGGTTTAAGGCTTCAGGGCTGTAGCTGAGGGTTTAGGATTTGGGCGTTGGCCCCTTTTCCCCCCCGAAGCCCAAAACCCGAGACCCCCTTAACAAGACCCTAAAGCCCCTAGACCGTGTATATCCAAGACCCTAGACACCGAACCTTGAATCCTAAACCCTGAACCCTAAACCCTGAACACTAAACCCTAAACCCTGAGCCCTCCAGAAGCAACGTTAAGGATCGTCGTGGAAGTTCACGGAGATCCGGGGCCAGAGCAGGAAGCGGTGGACAAGCTGATCTCCGAGGGCTGGGAGCCTGGGCCCATAATTAAGGCTACTGTTGTTGTTTAGGGTTTAGGGTTTAAATTTTAGGGCTTGGGGTGTAGGGTTTAGGGTTTGGGGTTTAGGGTTTAGCGTTTAGGGTTTTTGGTTTAGGGTTTGGGGTCTAGGGGATTGCTGCTCTTATTGCTATAGGCTATAAGTTGGTGTTGGGGTTTAGGGTTTCGGGATCTACAAAGGTTCTACTAAAGGGATCTATAGGGGTTCCTATGCGGGATCGTCAATAGGGGTTCTGTCAGGGATCTATACGGGTTTAAACTTGAGAGATCATGGGACTTCGCCATTAGGTTTATAAGTACCTGAAGTGGTGCTATCAGTATTTACGAGTGTAGTTGCCGTATTCATAACCCTACTTACTCCGTCCCGCGACCTTTCAAGCAAGGAAGAGTTGAGGAAGCAATGTAAGGATTCTTGCAAGGGTTTGGATTTTAGGTTCGGTACAAGGACGTACCCTAAACCCTAAACCCTAAACCCTAAGAGCAGTTAGGAACTGAAGCAGCGACTCCGGCGGCAGCGCGTGCTCTGCAAAGGGCCACTGGGTCCTTGTTGGATACAATTTTACATTTTGTTATAATAAGACCCTAATGAGGATTAAACATGATCATTTTTGTTATAGAATGATCATGTTTTTTCTATAATAAGACCCTTAAAAGGGATTTAAAAATGATCATTTTAAATATAATAAGACCCTAAGAAGGATTTAGAAATGATCATCTTAAATATGACCCCAATGGGGAACAAGGCCATGTGAGAGCCAGTGTGACCTGGTCTGGGTGGCACAGCATGCACACCAGTACTGGGGAGAAGATCTCTGGTAATCGAAACTCTCCTCAACCCCTAAACCCTAAATGCTAAACCCTAAACCCCTAAACCCTCCTAAATAACTAAGCCCTAACGGCTAAAACCTAAACCCCTAAACCCCTAAACCCCTAAACCCCTGAACCCGGAACCCTCAACTGCCCTAAACCCTAAGCCCTGAACCCGGGAGCCTTGAAGCCTAAAGCCCTAAATCTCTGCTGCTTCCCGCAATCGTGATACAGCATTCCTAAATCTGTGCACATCAAACCCTATAGGTTAAGCTTTAGGACTTGTGGACCCTAAACCCTAACTAATCTAACTATATAGGATTTGGGGACATCCTGGCCCCTAGACTCTAAAGGGGACCAAAACCGCAAGCTCCACGCTAAACCCTAGGCCTAGTGGTCATTTTTTGCAATTCTTGGCCTCGCACACAGAGGACCTAAACCCTAAACCCTAAACCGTAAGCCCTAGGCCCTAAGCCCTAAACCCCTAAACCCAAAGCCCTAAGCCCTAAGCCCTAAGCCCTAAACCCTAAACCCGAAGCCCTAAACCCTAAACTCCAGGAGGCTAAGACAGACCCTCGGCGAAGCGCATCAAAAGCCTGTGTTCGTTTGATACCTGGGGGGTGAGATAGAGGGGTCAGAGATGCTTTAGAGCGTTGACAGTTGTAGGGTTTAGGGCTTAGAGTTTAGGATTTATGCAGTTTACCTGGGGTTGGACCAGGTTCTGAGCATTTACGGTACTTCCCGATTACTTCTAGCTTTGCGAAAGCCGTAAGAAGGGCCAGATGTGCTTTAGAGCTGGCGAAGTGCCAGCAGGACACTTCTGGGTTCAGGGTTTAGGGCTTTAGGGCTTAATGATTAGAGTTTGGAGTTCAGGATTGAATGTTTAGGAGTAATGACCTCTCACACCTTGAACCTTGCAGTTGAACCGGAAGTTATGCAGTTCAAGTTACCCACTCGGAGACGCCAGTGCTATTTGCTAGCCTGCCCGGCCATAGGTAGAGTGATAGGCTGATAGGGAAGCAGCTTGTTGTCATGAAACTCGCATCCTCACTTATAGTATAGGGGTCGCAAGATTGCAGATAAGCTGGGTTCCTGATTATAATCATATTATGTGAATTACAACATACACCAAAGCCCCATTGCATTACCCTAGTTGCTAAGTCTCCTGAGCGTATCCTAGATAGTAGGTCTAGGCCCCAAAAACTCACTGAATTGACCTTCAACCATGAACCTTCAGCTCTTGGAAGCAATTCAAGAACGTGATTATTTCATTGAGTATTTAGTCTGAATGTTGCCTAACTTCAGTGCCTAAGCCTTAAACCCCAACTACCTCACCTTAAACCCTACCCAGATCCCCTACAGGAACCCCGACACGAACTTTTAAAAGGAACCCTGAAAGGAACTAAACCCTAAACCCTAA